AGTATGTATGCTCCAGCGCAATAACCTTCTTTGTTTAGGGTGACTTGTAAGAAATTTGGCCTCTCACCCTGCAGGGTAAGGAGGATGGAGGCTCAATGGCTTTGTCTCTGAAGTTTCCAGCAACTTTGAAAAGTTGAGGTGTGATCTTGACAAAATCTTCGAAAGGCCTAAAAGGAACTTAGCCTCTACCTGTGTTCAGGCGAAGTGGGTTAATTAGACAGGAGTTCAATGGTTATTGCTTTCTTTACTAAGTTTATCCTGTTAACAAAACTTTCACTAAGGTTCATAAAACTCCAAAATCCAAACTAGCTTTTCTGCATTTGTAGTATGGTGTGTGCGAGAGAGAGAGATTATAGGAACATTTCTTTACAAACAGAAAGGACCCATTCTTAAGAAAGATGTCAAGTAAGTTTCCTAAGTCTCCTTTCTCTGAGCAAGAGGGCATCTCCCGAAGGCCGAAGGGCGAGCGTGCCGATCCCCGAGTCCCCCGCGCGCTGCGAGGACAGGTGCTTTTGCCTGGCTCCTCAACTCCCCACTCGGACTGCGAAGGGCTGCTTAGACAGGGGTCCAAGGCGCACGGCCCGCCCGTCACTCCTCCCCACTTGATTCTGGCCCTGGCTCTCTCCCTTCTCAGCCCCGCTCCTCCGCCTGGCTCCCTCCTCCGCGTCCCCCCCCCCCCCCCCCCAGTCTCGTTTCAGTCATCCCTTTGTCCTTCCCCGGATTGGCAGGTTTTATTATTCCGCCTGAACAATCCGGCCGCCCAGTGGCTGAGGGTCGCTGACGTCGGCGGCAGAGCCGGGGAGTAGTTGGGATTTTGCTCTGTCAGTAACACATGTGTAAGAGCCGCGGAGGGAGCGAGCGAGTCGGCTAGAGGCCAGCGCCACCGCCGCCGCTGCCGCCTCCGAGCCGGGCAGCAACAGCCCCGGCAAGCAGCCCCGGCCGCGGCGCAGGCTGCAGCGCGCCGGGCCCTGGCCGGCCGCGGCTACTCAACACTTGGGCGCGCCCGCCGCCCGGCTTCCGCACGCTCTACCGTCGCCGCCGCCGCCGCCGGGTCTGTTGTTTCTGTTGCTCCTCTCCGGCTGGAGGTGCAGAAAGCCCGGTAGAGCAGCGGCCGCCTCCAGACCCCAGCGAACGCGCGAGCGAGCGCGCGGGAGGGAAGAAGGCGGCGGCGGAGGAGGAGGAGGAGCGGGAGGCGCGCGGGCGGGGGCGGGGGCCGCCGGGCGGGGGAATATACAAAGTGAAGCCACATTGCCAAACTTGCAGCAGCGATTGCAGCAGTTGCTGCCACTGCGCCGCGCCTGAAGCCGAGCAGCGCGGGCCGAGGGCTCCTGCAGCTGCTCGCGCGGAGGCGGCGAAGGACGAGGACCGAGACTGACACTTCTCCTGCCAGCCCGGCTGCCACTTAGCCTATGCACCAATAAATTGAACTTTTGGCTCTCAGTTTAAAAAAAAAAGCAGCCCTTAGCCCCCTCCTCCCCTTTCCTGCTTCTGCAAGAACTCCCTCCCTCCCTCCAGCTCCGCCAGCCGAGGCGCCCCTTTCCTGGAAGCCGAGCGGCTTCACTCGCATTTCGCCGCCGCCGCCTCTCGCAATATTGCAATATAGGGGAAAAGCAGGTAAGGGGGCGGCCAGAGAGCCTTGGGCCGGGAGGGTGAGTGGGGGAGGAAGGGGCTGCTCTCGGTTGGGGCTGTTTCCTTTGGCTTCCTTCCCTTGACCGTCCCAAATTGCAAGTAAACAATACGTCGGTTTAGATAATGCGCGAGTCTGAAACTACCGAGGCCGGCCTGCGAGAGCTAACGCGGAGGGCAGCCTGGGGCCGCCAGCTTTGTAGCGGTTCCTGCTTACAAAAGCGTTCTTGGAGATGGAGATGGAGCTGGTGGGCTGCTTAGTGGGGCTTGGAGGTAGTTCTACTTCATAAGGGGCTTGGTCCGGAGGTCTTTAGATGAGGGTTTAAAGATGAAAAGTAGTGGGACTGGGGGTATTAGACATGACCCCCCCTTCTCCTAGTAAACACTATTTTTGTAACAGTGGCAGAAAGGATAGAAGTGAGTAGGATTCGGTATTGCTCAGTCTTTTAAAAAATTCCTCTTGGCTTATAAGTCTTTGTTCCAATCCAGGAGAAATCCGGTGAATCACCTAATTAAAATCAAGACATGAATTAAGCATCCATTTTTGTACTACAAATTGCCAGCGCTACGTTTGTCCCTCCCTTGGTCTCCATTAAAAAACACCAGAGACGTTGTTAAAGGGGGGCCGATTTTTGCCTCTAGCTGCCAGTTCTGCTTTCTATTTCTCTTCACTATCCCAGGACCTAAATTGCTTGGCTATGTAATTACTAGAGTATAAGCCTATTTAACTTAAAAGCTTTCTTTTTTTTTTTTTTCCCAAGTCTAAATGAAACTTGATGAGGGCCCGTCCTTAGTTATCAGGGGAGTCAGTTTCTGGTCAGTCCTCTTGATTCATCTCTTTTAGATTTAATCAGCATTAAGGTATTGCTTGTCCTTAAGAGCTTTAGCTAATGGGGTTACTGGATGCTTTTCTCCGTGTAATGTTTCCTTTTAAAAAAAATATATATACATATGTATTTACCTCTCACCAAAGATGGGGGCGGGGAACAGCTTGGAATCTCCTCCCTCCCTCTCCCCATTTAAAAAGGAATTCGGTGCGATTAAAACGTGGGGGGGGGGGGCAGTTTAAAGACCTAGGGCAGGAAATGCAGATTCATTTGGGTTAGGGCTGAAATTGTAACAAAAAGCAATTCCTCGAGTAAATGCATCAGATAAATCAATTTACATAAAGGTATGATGCATTCGGATAAATGCAATGCTAATGGGTTTTAGAGTGGTCCTGTTCCAAAGTCTCAGGGTTTTGTTACAGCTTAATTGGTGCAGTTCTTATTCTGGTTTATTGTGCGGTTGCTGGACACACGTTCCGGGACTCTTTCGGAGGAAATGTGTTTAAAATCGGCCTATTTAAGGAACCTGAGTCCTTGTTTCGTTCCCGTCCCTTCTCTCTCTCTCTTTTTTTTCAATTTGCTGCAGCCAAGTTGGGCCAGGGACAGGCGAAGTTCGCCCTCTCCCTTCTTGAGGTATCAGCTGAATGTCTTGAGCAGATAGCCTGGAGCCTCGGGGGGAGAGCCCACACTCTCGGCTTACAGAGGACAAAGACAAAACAGGCTGCTTAATTGGCAGTAAATAACTTGATCTTTTTATAGAATAAGTGACTGGAGGAACACTAGGACTTTATTGGACTCAGGATTGGAGGCAACAAATTAATCGGTTTAAGCTAAGCTTTATAAATTGATTCTTATATTATACCCAGTTGCTTCTCTTGTGGCATTCATTAGAAAAAGTGGGGAATTTTTAAAAGCAGTTTTTGGTGACAGCAGGGCTATCTCTAATTGAACTTTGTGCATCCCTTAATAGTGCCTTTTCGCATATTATCTGTACCACCACCCCCCTTTTGGTGGAACAAAGCTTTAACATTTAAATTGCTGATCAAGGGCAGATTAGGGAGACCAAAGTGAAGAGTGTTTGTATAGGAAGTTAACAGGCATCCTAAAGTTCAATGATCTATTATTCTTGCCTGTGTCCTGAAAACCCAGAGAAAACACTCATTGATCTTCAAAATGAAATGAGATTTGGAACAATAATGGGAGATGGCGGTCACCACAATGGCATGTGAAAGGTGCTGTTTAAAATACGAAAAACCAGTTTCGCAACTTTTACACACCGCACTCCCTCTCCCGCCTCTCGCCTCCCCTCCCACCATCACGCTCCCCATCGCCCCTCAGCCCGTCCCTCCTCCTTCCCTTTCTGAAAACCCAACTCTCTGCATAACTTGTGAACTGCAGCTGCACTTCGGGAGGGAACGTGGCTCTCTGGCGGGGCCCGGCGGGGCCGCTGCCTCCCCACTCCCCTCGGCTCGCTCTCCCGGCTTGGCCTGGGCTGGGGAGGGGCTGGGCGCGGCAGTGGGTGGGTTTGACCCTCATTTGCTGGGGGCGGGCGGCGGGGTGGAGGAGGAGGGGAAGGTGGGCGGAGGCGGGGGCTGGGAGGAGGCGCTGAAAGGGGTGGAGCGCACAGCCCGAGCCTCGCTCGGAGTTTTGACAGTACCAAAGCTGAAATTGTCAGCGGTGGCGAGCGCTGGAAAGTTGAGAGGAGCTCGTGGCCCAAGAACAAAGCTTGAGAAAAGTAAACAGGCGGCTGCTGCCGCCAGCCTCCCTCCTTCCCTCTGCCCCTCACCCTCCCAGTACTAGCTTCTCTCTTCCAGCAGCTCTAGGGAGGACTGGGCTCTTTCCGCAGCCTTGCTCTTACTAACTTTTACACTGCTCCTGTTTTGTCTTTCTTCCCCGGCCCCCTTCCCGCCCTCTGCAGACCATGGTGAATCCGGGCAGCAGCTTGCAGCTGCCCCCGGTGACGGCCGGCTCCCTCTCCTGGAAGCGGTGCGCAGGCTGCGGGGGCAAGATTGCAGACCGCTTTCTGCTCTATGCCATGGACAGCTACTGGCACAGCCGGTGCCTCAAGTGCTCCTGCTGCCAGGCACACCTGGGCGACATCGGCACGTCCTGTTACACCAAGAGCGGCATGATCCTTTGCAGAAATGACTACATTAGGTAAGACTTTGCAGCTTTTACCTTGATGTCAATGCTATAGACCCAAGGTTTCCATGGATTTTAAAGAAGACAGTGGGTATCTATGATAATAAACTGTAGTCTTAGCCCCCAAAACCCTCAGGTTGGTAGAATTTTAGGGATTTAAGAAAATGGTATTAGTTTCCTCTTTTTAATGGTAAATGCTATACTAATTAAAAAGTGTACATTTGGTGAGACTGGCTTCTTGGTATGGGAAGATGTATGAGGACTGTTGGAAATTTTAAGTGTCAGCCCCTACTTAAAAAAGGGCCCCTCAACTAAAAAGAAACATTTCAAGTGGGAGTTTAAACTGCTTTCTTAAAGCTAGGTAGGCACCCACAGAAAAACTTGTAGACAAAGGTTAACTTAAAAAGAAAAGTGTAGTTAGTGTGAAATGATTTGCCTATGGTAATGGCTAATTAAGATATTTACATAAGCACCTTTAAACTTTTTTAGCAGAAAGCTATGACTCATTCTTTGTGCTCTTTGTGAAAAATGCTGATTACCCATCAGTTTAAACACTTGTAATTCTTATAGAAAGGGTTGGAGGTAAAATAAAACGAAGCAACTTAGCTGTAATGTTTCTCTTCATACTGTTACTTACTTAGAGGCTTTGAATGCTCCATGTTAGTATGTGGTTTTGTTTGAAGTGTAGAATTTGTAGGTTCTTGGAGTGAGGAATGTGCAGGGTTTTTTTTGTGTGTTGTTATTTGTATCACTGCCCTTGTTCTCCAAAAGGGATTTAGAAAAAGAGGCTATAGAATTATACTAATCTTGCATTTTAAAGGAATGTATAGGAGCATTCGTATGTTCATGTAAGCAGTCTTTTCCAACAAGTTTCAGTGCAATTAATGAAAAGAATTCAGGAGGTCAGGTGCCTATAGGATCTTTTCAGGTGAACTCAAGCTACTTAAACTCATTAATTTGAAAGGAGGCATTTGAAGGATTACACATTTAATTTGAGTAAATGGTTTGATAGACTGATGCACATGAATGCTTCTAGGAGGTGTTCTATTTCAACATCCAGTAATTAAAAAAAAAAAAGAGAAAGAAAAAACCACACGCACACACCGTTGATACTAGAGAACTGCACTTTTAAGAATTGCTTTCTATCTTAGTTTCTGCCTGAAGTCTTTTTCTTTATAGTGATTATTAGTAGGTTAATTTTGCTCTTAAATTGCGGGTGAATCAATGCACTATATATTTTTTTCAAAGTTTAGCTCCTGTTGTGATTCTGTTCTGCACCCGATAACTGCAGAAGATTTTCATGCATTTCAGAGCCGAGTATTGGTATGCTTACCCCAGTGATATCATTAATGTAAAATGATGGAGTAAAATGGCATTTGGTTATTCCGATAATGCAACCTATGTCCACTCAGCTGGCATCCTCAATCAGCCAAGTACAAGAAATATAGGACAGGAGAGGGCTCTTATTTTTAAATTTAGAGGGCAACATTAATTTCACTAAGTGTTCTTTTAGAAGTAAATGTTGGAAAATCAGCAGGAGCAGGAGCATAATGCTTTCTGGTCCTCCTTCCAAGCAAAGCCATGAGCTTTGACAGAATTGTAATTAAATAGAGCAAAACTGTGGTAAAATAAGAGGGCAGTTTGTAGTGGAAAAATTGACAGTACTGTTCAGAATTCTGTGAATGGTATGGATTCATCTCCAGTGTCTTCAAAAACCTTCCCTTCTGATTGCCACTAATTAAAAGGAAGATAGGTCCACTTGCATTCATTCCCTCAGACAAGTTTAGGCTAGTGGCTTTCTGGGAATCGTACCATTTTGTAATCTTGGGGCCAAATATACATGCTCATTTTATGTATTTTTGTCCTTTAATGGAGCCGTAGATTAATGGAAGATGTGTACCCAGCCTTGATCCTTAATTAATTAGATTCATATCTTCACTTCCTTTCTTTCTGCCTCTGAGTCTGGGAACTGGAGCTCATGAACTAGGTGTTACACTGAGAACCACTGAGAATCAGGCCTCAGAAAGAGGAGTTCAAGCTCAGTGGCAAATTTCTTGACTCTGCTACCAGCTTCTTGAGGACCCCTGCCCAATTTAGAGATCTCAGAAATCTTCGTTGAAACTTCCCCATTTGCACTTTGAGATACCAGCGTGAGAAAAAGGGTACAGATTATCTTTTTCCTGTGAGTTATCCATTCCCAGTTTCCTCTAGTCCACTTGTTGGAGGAGCTTTCAGTTCCCCAAGAGCCACAACTGAAGAGTGTAATCTGCTTGCTGGCCACCAGGTGAAATAAGGACCCCTTGACCCAGCTGGGATCAGGGAACAATTTATGAAGGGGCTTGTAAAACGACTTTGTGGTATTTTGATGTTGTTTGGTTTTAAGCAACCTACATCTGACTAAAAAGCGGCTTGAGAGCTGGGAGAGGCTGACTGGGACCAGGGGGCTTTCTCCTCAGACCCGTTCTCTTTTGTGGCCTGGTATCTGGAGGGCAGAGCTGGGCTTCTGCCTTCTCTCCCTCCAAGATTTCAGATAAAGCAACTGCCTTGCTGCAGCGAATCCGCACAATTAAAAGCTTTAATTAGTGGCTCCTCCATTTTCTTAGTTCTGATGGGCTTTATCTAATGAGATCTGGTCTCTGGCTTAGATCTGCTCCGAATGACGTGTCCGCAATGAATGAGAGCTGCGTCGCAAACAAAACATTTAATTAACAAAATTGGCCTCTAAGAGAGGGAGGGAAAGGGCTGGGGGGGGTGAGGGGGGCGGGCGGATCTTAAAGGGGCCAACGCCTGCCTACCCCCCCAGCCCTGCCTCACAAAAGTCGGAGAACCTTGAAACTGCCGCCCCTACTCCCCCTAAACCGCCCTTCTGAGCCCAAGTAGCTTAGGCAACTCCGTTTCACTCCTTCTACTACCCCCCTCCCCCCCACACACACACACTTAGGGTCTAAAGACTGGCTAAAGTG